TATATATGCATCGCCAACGCCATCTACGATGTATATTTTGTAAACTACGACTTTTAATGTTCATTAGAGCATCCCACCCCCCCTCCCCCCCCCAACACGCTATACTTCATAATTCATAAAATTTCGCACACCTTGAAGTGCCTCTAAGGTCAATTTGGGTGCGTTTGTTCATAAAGAAAAAGAAGGCACTGTTGTACAGAAAAGTCACAGTGTCAGAGTTCAATCAGAGTACTAGTGTACTGTGCTACACTCAGTCACAGGCAGACAGGCCGTGTGTGAGCTGACGAAAGTCCGATCTGACAGTGACTGACTATTAACAGATTGTTCCAGTTTCTCAGCTTTCCGTTGTGAGTTTTGTAATTTTTGTACTATACTTTTCTCATTTAAAAAATATACGAATACATAAATAAAAAGAATCTAAATTATTTAGCAGTAAGTTCTCGTTCTGCTCTTTATATCGAGTAGATCAAAGTTAAGCATGAAAGGTTTACTTTATAGAGAGGGGGTTAGGGTTTAAATTCTGGAGTCTGGAGTCTGGAGTTGCCAACTAGGGAGTAGGAAATTGAGGTAGTGGGATACTTTGGAACTGGAAAGAGATTCGCTTTTCTGTATGTTCAAAAAAACAAACAAACAAAAGCTTTCCAGTCTCTAAGTCCAAATCTCCACACCATGTATTTACTGAGTAAATAGACTAAATAAATACTACAGAGCTTCTGCAGAGTGTTGATCCCGTGATCCTAAGATTCTTATTTATGCCCAAATATAAAACACTTTTGTCTTTTAACTTTTTGGTATTGTTTTTAAAAAAGTACAAAAATTCTTTTTGTTTGTTTGTTGTTTTTGTAAAACAACAAAAAACAAAACAAAACAAAAAAATGCTTGTTTTGTCTTTTGTTATTTTCTTAAAAAAACAACAACCCAAAAATCAAAACAAAATTTGAAAAATGAAATCCCCAATAAATACATAGCCTATTAAAAAAAAAATCATACATGTTTATCAAATTATCTACCTTTTGTTCTGTTTTTGATTTAAAAAAAGATGAATACATCTCCCTAAAGACTATGTAAGAGACTATGTTTAATTTTCAGAAGGCTATGACTAATATTGGCGAGTTTATTATTAGGGTATGGAATACAGAGAGTCTGAAACTCAGTCTCAGACTCTCAGACTTCAGTTGAGCGCCAGTTATTGTAATCGTCTATGGTCGATTGATCTCCACTGACACTGTAACACTGTCAGTCTGTCGGTGTCGGTGACTAAAAATATGTATTTATGCATTTTGTTTTGTTTTGTTTTGTTTGTTTTAAAAAAACAAAAAAACAACAACAACAAAAATCATAAAATAAATAAATCTGTCCCCAGGCTCACTCACCTCCTGCTCACCACTGCACCGGTGTCCAGACTCCAGAGTTCAGACTAAAGAGTTCAGCCTCCAGAGTCCAGACTCTCTCTCACTCTGTACTCTAATTTCTTTGTATCCGTAGTAGTTTTTTAAAAACAATTTAGTGGCCGGTGGCCCTAAAACCCTTTTTGGATAGGGGGGCCAAACTCCCAGTCAGAGTTTTGTCAACAACGTCAAGAATCGCCCAGCGACAGTGCTAAAATGTTTCGTAATCCGTGGCCAAAAATGAGCGTAGGTGCCAAAGAAAACAAGTCAGGCCAAATTACATCCCATAGACGTGGCACCGGTTTCCATTCACTACAGACGTAAATATATTAGTTAGGTGACCAGGTCACGTGTGTGGATAATAACATCCCGCGAAATGCCTTCGCTTGATCATCAGATGTCGGAAGGTGTTAGCCGTTTCGATTTTGGGTACGACAAGGTCAATAATAATAACTCAACTGTGTTTGTTTTATGAATAACTTCGCGCGAAATGCCTTCGTCTGATTATCTGATGTCGGAAAGTAACAGCTAGTTAAGGCAAGTCTTAAGGGTTCAGGTTTTCACGTTCAAATTTTCGATCAAGGCCCATTAGCCAATGTAAGATTTTTGGTACGAGGGCGTCAATAGCTTTGCGCCGTTGTCGCGATGTGACCTTCAATTTTTCTTAGACCCGTGAAGTAGGCATTACACTCTTCACCTTCGTGCTATTCTTTGTCGCCTTTCTGTGTATGTGTAGTATACATTATATATGAGTGTTAAACTTAATCCACACCAAATGATCATAACTGGTATGCAAAAGGAGGTCATTCGGTTCTCACTCATTCTCATACGTTCCATCCGAATCTATACCTTGGTACCAACTTATATTCCTGTGTAGAATTCAGAACGAAGTCTGTTGGCCTTCTCAGGGTTTGGGAGTTCTAGATGTATACTCACCACTATATAATATATTCTCCTGTACTGGTTCATAAACCGCTGCAAGCGTACGTCAAACGTCAAAATTGAGGTGATAACGTTTATATTAGATAGATCTTGTATATCACCTGCGACAGATAACACCAGAGTTGCAAAACGCACCTCTAAGAAACTCCTTATATGTGAAAGTAAATGTGGCGCGCACAGGCGACCACAGTCACAAGCGTACACAGGTCAGGTAGAAATAGCAATAATGGGTATATTTAGCTTTAATTACAGGTATATTATATGCTTACAGGATAAATAGACAATTATTGCAGCTTGACCTGCGCCCCGTAGTGATCTGAGATATGATATCCCTCAATTGATCCATTCGAGGGATACTTTGTATCTAAAATTCTTATCGCATTGTACCGTGAACTGTCACGGGGGAGCCTGTCACCCCATACCATTACATGGTCAAGCACATTCTTGGCTGACCATGTTTCAGTGTATCCTGAGCAGTTCTTGCCGGTGTCATGTCCGCAAATGTTTGTGTTGCCGTCCATGTAATCAGGTCCAATGACAGGGCGTTCCCAGGTAGGCTTGTTGGGCACAGTGTTGTCATAAATACCCCACCATCCTAATTCAGTCAAGAGCTCCGTTGAGGATGTTCCGTTAGTGCTGATCGGGTCAGGGTTTAAGGTACTTGACCCATCCGCTGCATCGGGTCCTGAATTTAAATCACCGGCCATGATCCAATCAATGATACCCTTGGCCTCTTCACCCTTGACAAATTCAGTAATCTCTCGGAATTGGTCTTGTTGCTCCGGCCCTTCAACCGCGACATGCGTACAGAGCACACCAGTTTGTACGCCTTGGAATTCAGTTTCGCCAGAAATGAACGCTCTAGGCACTATCCCCCAATCCATAGACTTTCCGCCGACGTTGGTCAAAGGTATCTTGGACCACAGTACTAACCCGTATAACAGCGACTCGAAGGCTTGATCATTGACCTTCTCGTCAGTGCTCCCTCGCATACAATTCAGCATTGAGGGAATGTCTCCAGTGGTACCGGCCATCACTAAGCATCCATAGCACTTCTTGTTGTTAAAAATAATCAAGAAATCATCAGGTGTATTCGTCTTCCAACAGTCCAGCAGAGCGAAGAGATCAGAAACCAGATCGTTATATAATTTACCCTCCACGGTAATAGCCTTTGTGAAGTCAGCCTTACACTCCTCAATACCCATCAATTTGACTAACGTGATAGTGGTCGTCGCAGGGCACAATGAATCAACAGGCTCTCCTTTCGCAGCAACCTCCCACTCGGTGTTATTGTAGTGGTAATGATATGGATATCGGGCCATCCACTCCTCGTCGTCAAACAAAAGGTCGAGATCTTGCTTGTACCACATTTCGTTCATACAAAATAAATCGGTATGGACCTCTTTCTTAAGTGCATCTGCGAGCAGGAGTCTGCGCGAATCATAATTTGCTACCGTAGCTGAAAGGCCTGTATTGAATGTTGTAATTGATACGCTTTCGTTCACCACTGCCATACCCACTACCGCCGCCGCCAAGTACGACGTAACCAGAACTGTAAATGTAATTCGTGGCATTATAATTAGTTCTTGGGTTTCTAATAGCAGTAAATCTTGTTGCCACAATAGCTTTCTGATCAAACTACACCGGTCCTTTTCGTGTATAACTGTGTATACCAAAAACTAAAGAAGCCGTCAGCTCGGTTTCCTAAAAGTCGTGTCGGCGTATCAGCTCCGGCCTCCGCATGTGAAGTTTGCTACTTTTGTTGGGTACACAGTTACACACACTCGCAAGTGGCAAGTCGCAAGAACATTGCACTTCTAAATAGTCCCAGTCTCCCAGCCCCTGCCCAAGAAATGGTTCATACATATATGAAAATTCCACCAAATTTAAAATTTTGTTTTTTTATAAATATGAACAATGATAGAGCAACCCATCACTAAATTAGGATGGTTTTCCTCTTTTAAAAAGAATTACATTCCATCGTTTTTTATTTATTTACAATAACAAAAAATATACAATGTACTATACTACTGTGGGGAGTAGTCTGTAGTCTGTACATATGTACGAGTTTAATTGAGTACTACGCTATGACAGTATGTATAATTAGCCAATGCATGTAGCTGCTGCAGTCTGCACTCTGCATTGACTGCAGTGAGCAGTGAGCACTCTACACTCTACAGGACTGCTCCTGTAACTTCACTCTGCAGTCTGCAGTTTCTGTAGACTGCAGTTTGTGTTCAATTTAGAAGGCTATGCAGTTTTTAACTGTTTGTCAATTGTCACAGGTGTCGCAGCCTGCCAGGTCTCAGGTAAGGCACTCTCTGGGGCTGGGGGAGGACAGCCGAGTGTGAGCCGACAGACGACAGTGTTTGTGGGCATTGAATGGTGGGCATTGGGCACTGGGCACTGGGGGCACAGCCGCAGCGGCTGTGAAGTTTGGATTTTATGTTTGTTTGTGAGTCTGTGACTCCGTACATAGTCTGTGTGGACTGTGTACTGTGGAGTATGGACTGTCCGACTGTAAAGTGTAGACAGTGTAGCGTGTAAATAAATACTAATACAATAGGCATAGGACATATATAGCGTCAAGAGTTAGGTGTACCACACTACCACTGCCAAGTGCCAAGCAAGGTCAAAGTGCCAATAACATGCGTCGCCTTGATATGCTCATAATTTTTAATTCGGATTCCAAAGCATACATGGAGTCATTGAAGTGAGCTTGTGATTAGTGATTACTGGACTATTTTTATTCGACTACTCTAAAGTTACGCCTGCGCGCCCATGTATTTTAAAATTATAAAATTTGCCAAGTATATATATATATTATTTTTTTTGGTTTGTCGGTATGTATCTCGGAATAAATATATACAAGGTATGGCGTGTATTTTATTTTGTTATTTACATATGTATGTTTTCAGTTTTGGGGGTTTTGCTTTTACTTCAGACATATGTCTGTTCGCAAAGCAAGTTGATGCTCGATATCTAGCTCAAAAATTTGACACGCTTGGTTCATTTCATAACACGATTATACATCAGGCGACTAGATGCGAGAACCGCCTTAAGCTGATACTTTATTTTGACATGCGTACTACAATCGCACTTGGCGTGCGTATTACAATCGCGAACCATCTATTCGTTTTGTTTGGCATATCCCATATTAAAATCGGTTACACGATGAAAACAATTGAGCATGCTCCTGCACTGTAGCGTATCGCAAAAGAAGTTGAACAAAATTTGCAATGACCACAAATTGTACTTGCAATATGTCGGATAGCTTGATGGTTACTGGGCTCTGAGTGAATAGACTATGTTTGGAGTACCGAGTACAGATACAACTTTGAATAATTTTTTCATGGGGGCATAAGGAACCTATATGATCGAAGTGTAATATGTACTAAACTCGGAGGTTTGAACTGTCGTTCGATCAATACTGATATCGTTGACGAACACCGCCGAATACCGACAAACGCGCATGTACACTCGATGTCTGTACACTAATTTACAGTTTGATACAAAATTACTAGCAAGTATAGCCTGTAGCTTCATACAGAATTGCTAACAAGTATATCCTACAGTTTCATATCAAATTGCTAACAAGATAGCCTACAGTTTGATACTAAATTACTAGCAAGTATAGCCTAGAGTTTGATACTTAATTAATAGCTAGTATAGTCTATTGTTTCATGCGAGATTATTAGCAAGTATAGCCTACTGTTCGATACAAAATTACTAGCAAGTATAGCTTACAGTTTCATGCAAGATTATTAGAAAGTATAGCCTACTGTGTGATACAAAATTACTAGCAAGTATAGCCTACTGTTTGATACAAAATTACTAGCAAGTATAGCCTACATTTTCATGCAAGTTTTTAGCAAGTGTAGTCTACAGTTTCATGCAAGTTTGCTAGCAAGTATAGCTTAAAATTGCTCGCGAGTATAGGCTACAGTTTCATACGAAATACTAGCAAGTATAGCTTACAGTTTCATATATTTTTTTAGCAAGCATTGCCTACACTTGTGTGCTAGTTATGTACGCAGTCGTAGAGAGTTGAACGGATGAAGCATATCACTCATCATTTTGTCGTGCACTTTTTGTATTTGCACATATAACATTTCATTTTTATTTCGACATGCAGACTGCTATGTCAAGCATGTCAAGAGTGGAAAAGTGAAAAAGGTATATATGATACATCTGTTTTACAATTTAGAAAAAGGAAACGATGATATCTGAACGAAGTAATAAAACAACCTGGAGTCATGGACGACATAACGTAGCAGTAATTTAAGATGGTCTTTATTGCAACTTAAATACGGACATGCACACCCAGAATACTATTCTGTTTGTACTCGTTCCTTTATATCCACCACCAAACAATACGGTAAAATAATTGGCTTATCTAGCAACGACACGTTTACGACTGGAAAATCTCGTCTGTAAACGCCAAGTAGTCCAAGCCTCCTTCAACACCCTCCTTAGGCTTTATTACGGACATAATATAGTCGGCTGTTGCTGGTGACATATCTCTTCGGATCTCTTCCTCGGTAATATAATCCTGCAAGAGTAGAGTTCAAGATTTTAGGTGTGAAGTTTAGGAGTTAGGGAAAGGAGCAATTGCCAGCAGAATGGTTCTACCTTCAGAAGCTTTATAGCACCAGTCAGCCTGTAACTCCACTGCCAACACTCACCCACAGAGATTTCTTCACTGCCCCCTATATCACACTCACGGCAAACCACAACCTTGACCAAAACACTTGAATTAGTACGTGCGCGATTCATTCGCAGCTGTCTATGCTGTTCCCAACTAAGCGTAAAAATGAAGTAGTTCAATTCATAGCCCCAACGATATAGTATAGACACGAATACCGCCTACTAATCCCAATTCATTTGTGGCACTAAATTGCACACGCGAACAGACACCAGTCTTCTACACACGTTGATGCATCATACATACCTTGTCTCCGGCAATAATCTTGAAGGACTCCTTGAACTGATCCGAGGACGTAGCATCCTGCTTGTCGCGTGCAGCAAAGTCAGCAAACGCCTCGAACGACACCTGTCCGGTTCCCTCAGGGTCAACGACAGCCATCACCAGGTCAAATGCGGGATCAGCACCGTCGTTACCCTTGACATCGGGCAAGTCGTAGCCGGTGGATAGCAGGCACGAACGGAACTCCAGACGGTCCAGCACACCGGAGCGATTCTTGTCGAAGAACTTGAATGACTCCTTGTACTCCTGCATCTTCTCCTCGGAGATCCCGCTTTGGTCCCGCATGAGGATCTGGTTTTCCAGCGTGTTGATGTTCTTGGTACACATGCCGTTGAGCTGCTCAATGCGCGCCGCAATCTCATCGCTGGTGTACTGGGCGTGGGGGTTCTGGGTGATACCTTCGGCAGACACCTTGGACGCCAACTCGTGCGCGCCGTCAGCCTTGGCGTTGAACTCCTCAACGACGCTCTGCGTCTCCTTCTCAGCCGCCAGCTGCTCCTCGAGCGAACCGGAATGTTCGGTACTGCGGATCTCGGCAATCTTGGCGTCCAGCTGCTCTCCGAGCGGGTTGGCATACTCCGCATACTCCTTGCACACCTTCTCGCGCGACTCCTGGAGCGCTTTCTGCTCCACAAACTGTGCATCGCGCTGTGTGACCAATTCGCTGATCTCATCCGCCAGTGCCTGCACACTCTGTGCCGAGTGTTGTGTGTAGGGGTTCTCCACACACTCTCCCTCCAACTGGGTACCCAGGGCAATCACATCCTGTTGTTCCTGGGCGTGGGCGTCAATGTCGGCCTTGGTCGCCTCGAAGGTCTTGACCTCGTTCTCAAACATCTGCATGGTGCGCACGTGCAGGGACTCCATGAGATCCTCCTGCGTGCCCTCACACCACGACACAATGTTACTCGCGCGTGTGGCAAAGTCCAGCAACTGCTCGTCGAGTTGCTCGTGCTTGGCCAAGCTCTCCTCCAGCGCCGTTTTCCGCGCCGTTGCGGCGTTGTTAAGGTTATCATAGCTCGCCGCAATTTCGTTCGCGCGTGCCTGTACACCCTCAGCGTCTTCGTAACCCCCATCCTGCAGCTGCTGGGCGATCGTCGCCAGTTGCTTTGGGCGTTCGTGGTGCGCCTTGACATCTCCACGGAAGGCCTTGAGCTGTCGTACCAGCGCCTGGACTGAGGGCAAGTCATGTCCCACATTGTCGGACGAGGCAATCTCCTGCTTGCCCTGAATCCACTTCTCGAAGAACCGGGCCTTGGCCTCAAACCGCTGCGACAGTCTCTGTAACTTCTCCAGGCGCGTGCTCTCGTTCTCCAGGAACACGGCATAGTCCTTCTCGGTCTGCTCAAGCTGCTTCCACGCAGTATCAATATCTGAGATCAACACGCCCTGCTCCGCGTTGTAGGGCGGTCGGTTGTTGAGGCGCAGCTTGGTCTGCAGCGTGCTGTAGTGTGCCTCCAGGGACACCTTCTCATCGCTCTTGGGAGGGCGCTCGCTCTTCTTGTACTCGCCGAATTCCGTGTTCTTTTCCTGCAGCGCGTCGGTCGTCGCAAACGGCTGTGGCTGCTCAAATGCTGCCTGCTTGGCGCTGAGCCACTCCATCAGCGTTGAAGACCGCGTGTCGTAGTCCTTGATCATCTCCTGGAACTCTCTGTTCATGGACAGCACCGTCTCCAGTCGTCTGGCTGCCTCCTCGGTTTTGCCCATGCCCGCAAACGCGTGGTAGTACATGGCGACGTACGTCATCACAGAGCGCTCATCCGGGCGTGTTTCCTGGATCATATCTGCTGTGTCCAGCATCTGCGGAATGTCCAGGTGCTGCTCGGCCACCTTGAAGGCAGTGTTGAGGCGGGTCTCCGGGTTCTGCTCGTGCAGCTCGTCGTAGGTTAGTAGATCGGGCCGGTGTTTGTGGATAAGGGCACAGAATGCGTTGCCGTCTTGCCACGACGTGTGGAAGTTCTTAACGTCGCAGCCTGCGTAGCCGGCGGTTTTGCGCTGGCACCACAGCAGGAGACCCTCCTAGAAAGGAAAATGGGAAATGGGAACTTAAAGGTGAGAAAACGGGTTGGATCAAGAAACGGGACACGCTTTACTGCACACATGCGTGTTCGAACGAATCATATCCCAACTCTGGAGAAAATATACATATAGTGGTGACATATTGGTTCCAAGACCTCAGGAGCGTTCTGGCCACATACACATCCAAAGATTTCGACACCGTGAAAACAGAGTCACAGACATGTTGTATGCTTTGTGACAAACATAGCCACAGACATGCTGTATGCTTTGTGACAAACATAGCCACAGACATAAGTATTATACGAATGATCTGTGACATGTGTATTATATATACAAGCTAGACACGTATGTATACGAAGCCATCGACATGCTGTGTACTTTTTATATAAATGAATTTTATGTATCATACACAATCTTATATATAGAAATAGATACATGTATAATACATCAATCAAACATATATGTATACGTATAGATAATTCGTATACATACTATAGATATCAATATATATATATATATATATATGTGTGTGTTTGTAAATATGAAAATTTTCATGTATAGATGGATATATATGTATACAGATATATAAAAATACACACACACATATATATATATACGAGTATATATATATATATGTGTGTGAATATATAAGTATGTATAGATATATCACATCCACTATTGTATATTTGCAAGGGCGCAGCTGATGTGAAAGAAAGTGTATTTATAACCAAACAACAAAAAAAACCCCCTTGACTAAAATCGTATCATGTATCGTTGCACCCAGATAAACGCTACGGCTACAGCAGCGCCTGATAACTTGTGGTGTAAATCTGAATGTATACACGTTGCTAACGGCACTATCGAATGCACGAAGTGATTGATGTTTGTAATTGTCGCGAGGTAAGTACTAATAGTAATGACTGAAGCAATATATGTATTCGTATAAGTGACATCTGAAACCAGCGGTTACTATGTACAGAAAATATACAAACGTACTGTAAATGCAGCCCTAGAGCAGTACCGACGCTTAATATACATATAATCTATATATATATATATGAGCTCAATACTGATAATCATATGCAAATTCATCAATAAATAAACCTATACATATACGCATCCAGATGATCAGATGCACAGTAGCTAACCGTATGCACACGATTAAGCAGGAGTCGTATTAAATATCAAAATACAATATTGTTGCTATAGTATAGACATAGAAAGGCACTCCCACATTCACAAGAGCAGCTATACACAAAATCCAACCTTTATAGTATACGCACATATACATGCGTCTACATTCATAATATCATGTCCACACGCACATATGCATACATAGCATGTCCAAAACTTTTAACTCTTGAGAAGGTAGACGCGGCATCTTGAGAGTTCACTTCATAAGAAGACGCGAAAAGCGAGCAATTATTGCTTGCTTTTCGAAATACTGGTGTGAAAAAGTACCATTGCATACATAGGCGTTCACAGTTTGTTGAACACATATTCATAGGTTGTTGAGTCTATTTCATTCGGACATTTACAAAGCGGTAGATGCTCAGCTGAACATCGAACAAACCCTCCACATTGCGAATGCTACCTCGCCTGAAGTAGGTAATTGGCCTAAACTAGGTAATTGCAAGAATACACATACTGCATATTTCCTGCTAACTGTGTGATGGTCACAATTGACTGATGTGTCAACCATCAGTTCTTTTCACTGTCAAACAATATATCCACAATCCTGACATTTTTTGCTTTCCCAAAGTCTCACATGCACTAAGACATAAGAAAAGTCCGTATGATATTCGGAGATCGTTCGCAGTTTTGTGTGTACAACCAGTCATATATCGCACACCACACGTTAATATATAGCCACGTGCTATTGTAGCACATGGAAACTTACCTTTGCAGACATTTCCTCAACGGATATATCGGCAATCTGGAAACGCAGAATCAACACCCAGATCATTCCCAGGATGATCTTCATGTTCCCGTCCGCAATCTCCTCGGCACTGGTACCAACCAGGCGCACATTCTTCGCCTCAATGCCCTTGAGCGCCGTGTTTAGGTTCTGGATGTGATGCAGACGCATCTTGCCCTTCTCGGGTTTGGCCAGTTGCTCATTACTAATGAGCTCGACTAGTTTGATGAGTTTTTTGCCGTCTTTAAAGTCTTCGCTTAGGTCCTCGACGGCCATACCAGCCTTTGTGAGGTGACTGTTGACCCAGGCCGAGAAGGACTGTGCGTTCGCGAGAACAAGACGTGGATGATGACAAACAGATATACTGAGAAATTAAATTAAATCCCAACTTTAAAACTGGTGGCAAAATTAATGGCACTGGAACATGTGCCAAGATCATTGCGAATGTGGGGTTCACCACTGGGCTATATACTGTATTGTCAAATCGTCAAAATACCCACACAAACATCGCGAAAGTATCGAGTTTGTGGTGTGGAATTAGTGCAAAATAATGCTATATTGCCATAGCCCATATCCGAACATCTCTACGTGGACGGTATACTAGAGCAAAACCTGACTACGATTTTTAGATCATATTTTGTGCAGAACACCGCTGCACATCACTTCCCCGATATACATCGCTACACACCACTTCCCTGCACTAAAGTTCGTGCCGATTGCTTCACATAATAGGTTCTAAACGCACAGATATGTGCAAAGTTGTCCTGATTAGTGCCAAGCAGAAGCTTCGCGTATGTACAAACGTTGTCTTTTTTTTCTTGTCCTTATTTTCGAGAATAGGATTGTACAAACAAGAAGTGTTGAGATACTATGCGGCAGTGTGCTGCAAACTGTCACTTCCACCGCGGGCAACTAGAACTTCGTGCTTGATCTATCTATTATCATGCTCTCTTCAGGTTAGAAATAGTAATAATGTTTGGAGATAGTTTAGAACTAGCTAGAAGAAGATAGGTTCCAGACACTCGACGCTACCTCAATGTTCATCTCCTTTGTGCGGTTTGTATCGCACATAACACACCTTGACCTGCTGACGCTCCCACTGCTGATCCAGCAGTTTTGCCTCATCGTGCACAGGTTGATCTCGGGGATTCGAACTGGTCATCATAGGTCTGCAATAAAGAATTAGTAGCGCATATTGACGTAAGCTTGGTGAGAAGTCGATTAGGTGGACATTGTATGGTCTGCAATGGATAATTAGAAGCGAATAGTGGTGTCTGTCAGCTTGCTAAAAATAAGGTTTAAAGGAGGTTTTTGTATGGATCTGGTCAGTAAATGGTCTACAATAAAAAATAAAGCATATAACAAGCTTGCTGAAATAAAGAAATAAAGTAAAGGAACAAAATAGAAAAATATTCCACAACCCACTACTTCATTCAAGCATAGTAGTTGCAAAGGTAACAGTTCGCTCACGCGTGGATGTTGAAGGCAAATAATAGAATCATATCCCCTGCGTACATTTAAATAGTATCATAGCATCTGTCTGCATACGTATAGTACCATAACCTGTGAATACACAACTTTGGTATCAACGGTTGGCCTCTAAACCTCGTTGGTATCCACCTAAACAACAACACAGCAGACACTGACTCTAAACGCAACGCGAAGCAATACAGATAAGTGGTACCATGGACTAGACGTCCCAACCTCTGCTGAGATAAATGCATGCATAAACACTTACCGTGTGTAGTGTGCGGATCTGAAGAATGTCTATGTGAGGAGGCCTGGTTGTGTATGGAAACTTGGAGCTTCTCAAGGCGTTACTTGTAATTGGCCTAATACATTCGCCACTTCGATAAACAGTTTGTTATGCTCGTTGTGTTATTGTAAAAAATCATAGCCCCCCTGGCCCCCTCCCTAAAAAAGAAGAAAAAATGGCGACAATATCAACTCCAAAATATCATATTAGTATTTAATTACCTCGTAATCGGGTTTCACAATTTGATACGGTGATTTAAATTGGCATCAGGTCGTAAAATCTATGCTAAATTGCACTAAAATTAGCTGTTTTTACTATGGTAGGCAATATTTCCTACCGATTCCAACGAATTACAACTTTAAAAAAAAATACAGAATAAGCGACAGAACCTGTTAAACTTTTAGGACACTAACTTTATTCCCCAAACTTTGCAGACCAATATGACTCACTCATATAAGGGTTTCATTGGTGGATAGTTCGATCGTGGTAAACAGGACCCTTGGCCCTTTGGCTAATGGGCTTGTAGTACTCTGCCACAGTTATCCGACATGATGCTGGGAGCGAGATGTTTGACATTTTTATCGATTTTAAATATATATATATATAGATTATATGTACCCCCGGGCCCCCAGGGGCTCAGAACTTCAGAAGTGAGAAGCCAGATTTGAGATTGTACAGACTACAGTCCCTTCACTCTTCTCAGTCTTCAGTCACTAAAGAGTTCTCAGCAGAAGTTCACAACCACAGGCCCACAGTCCCCAGGTGATGTGTCCGCCACAAGATGACAAGAAGAGTGCCAAGCCATTTATTTTATTTATATTTTAATACGACAAAACAAACGACATGTGTACTCTATCTGTTCACACAAGAAGTCACAGACCCACACCGTCCAGTGATGACGGTGCACGTTGTTGTTCGGAGCAACTTAATATGTATACGATATAGTGATCTGAACCCAGTGAAGTCTCTCTCTAGAACACCAAATGAAAATGTCTTGCTCTGGCGACCTGTATACTTTATTTTGTTGTGTGCACTTGGCCATGTGCACATAGTTATGTATTTATACATTTTTGCTTTGTTTCTGCACTACAATCCAAAAAAAAAGGCATTTGCCATCATTGTGTTTGTCATACGTTTGCGGTATTTACCGTTCACAGATATGAACCACTGCTTTAAGTTTCAGGTGCCATGTCAACGCTGATACAACCAAGCGGGCTATTGCAGTCCAACTAATCGTATATTATGTGATACGTATTGAAATCGCCACATTTGTGGCACGAGCCCGTATACACAATACACCCGAACGGCGCTCAGTGCTTGTCGAATGGTTTTTTAACGTAAATACCCACAAATACGTGTATCCTGTGAGTTCTAAAGTAGTCATCTATACTTGTATGTATCAGGACCGGCAAATATGTATATATATTATATATACATACATATACATATGTATATATATTATATATATATATATTATATATATATTATTATATATATATATATATATATATATACACACACACACACACACACATTATATATATATATATATATATATCGCAAATAGAGCAGGAAGACTTATTGCTAGTTCATCACACGGTCAGTGTGTCTTTAAATAAGTTGCACCTGTAGTCGCTGTAATCGAGTTTTGAAGAAAAAAATATTTCCAAAATGAACTCTTTGAACGTCAACCTGAGATGTAAAGTGTTAGGGCTGTTCTTCGAGCTGGTTTTCTGGTGGTTATGCATACATGAGGCGCAGTATGTGGAGCCACATATTTCTACTAGAAGATACCTACAAGGGAAGACGAAGGTGCACCTATTGCCCGATAGTTTGTGACAGCACAATTAATATATCAGCACGTGCATAAGACTATACGAGACATCAAAATATTTACGAACCGGTAAAGTGTAAACCGTGAGTCCGTGAGCGTGGGACCTATTGTCATTCTCCACTCGCGCATAGGCGGGATAGCCTCTATGAAACAAATCAAATACAGTATAAAAAATGTACATTGTAAATCTAATCAAGATTCCGCCGCACTTCTTCAGAGAAAAATATTTTAGAGAACGGCGGAACCCAGACCCCCAGTGTGTACATACATAACTACTAAATTGACACTAACCACAATGATTAATCAGACCTAGCCAATAAGCCACCCAGGTCCCAGTGTATTTTTGCACATTGTGATGTCCGACAAACGACAGTCCGGCATACATCTGTCTTCGGAGCTATCTGCTATATTTGGAAGAAACATAATAAAAAAATGCTGTGAAAGCACCTATCACCACGAAGGATGTGGAACCCAACTTGATTTTTTACAAAATATATACTTTTTCTATAAGAAAAAGAAAATATTTTTGAAAATGGGCGTGTCACTTTTTGACACGAACGAAAATCAAGATCAGCAGGAGCACTCCATCTCTCCAAATCTCCAACATTTTAGTATCACTTACGTAAAAGATACATGGCGTTCTACTATAAAAAAAAAGAAGACTGTGGACTGTGGTATATAAGCTATAAACACACACGGGAGTCGTACATCAACACACGAAAGTCGTATTTAAATAAACACGTTAGTCATATATACCAACACGAGAGGAGGGTACACCATATATTCCAAGAAGCAGCTGCACAGAAATAGTAGTATACATACGTTTGAACACAATGGCAAAGGAAGCTCGCGCCCATAAACCTGACCCTCAGGGTGTGCTGTTCCCCAAGGATAGGAAGGGTGGTCGATCTACCCAGGATGCAGGTAAGACGCTTGTTTCTGTTACTCGTTGATTGTCAATAGTCATTTCTTTGGGTGTCCTTAGTCATTCCTCTTAGTGTCCTTGATTATTACTGCGGGTGTTCTTAATCATTGTTAGTGTTCTGTCTTGGTTATGTTGGCACTGTTATGTGTCATGAAGTGTCCGCTGTGAACTATTCACAGGGGTTAATACAAATTTAACATCTCGCAATATAACATTGTTTTATGAAATGTTAAATTGTTTGGTTGGTGAGTGAAGGTAGTGTTATATACGAAACTCCCGCTAGATCTCTGTACAGTACGGCTCGATACGAATATTACCAGTAGACCTCAAAACAAGTGCTTGCAGTGCACTCGGCGTACCGAACTATCAAATATTGGGACCATAGCTGACGCTGCCTATGTTACATGACTCACAATGCGCAGGCTAATCGAATTACCACCCCACAATCCGCTCAAATATATTAATCCAAGACTGCTGCACCATGCTGTTTGTGAGAGATTCGAAAGTAACTTGATCAGCGATGTTAGCTCGTGGAATCCATGCACCTATGAATTTTCTCTTAGGCATACTCACGAACTGAAATTTACTACCTGAACTAAAAGCGGCCGAGAGGCTCACTGACAAATATAACAACCGCACACTAATAATACATTAGGTCGAGAGGCATATGCCGCAGCTATCGGCGCAATGGAAATCCGGGATGGAGCCAATTGTACAGCTGAAAAGGGCTGGAGATATGGCTATGCCAAGCATGTTATGCAATTCGTAGAACTGTCCCTAAAGAGCCCGGAACACGCCGTAAAAGGGGCACAGGCGGGACTAGACTTTGTCCATGACCACTTCGAGTTTAAACGTGGGGACAAGATCATGAGCATCTCCGAGGCCATGTCTTCGATCAAGGATTCGTTCGAGACAGGATACATCAAAGGTGAAAAGGGGGGTGAGAAAGTGACTGAGTTTGAGATCCCATATAAGGGTCGCATGTTGAAGGGGCGGTCTCTGTGCGATCAGGTGGATAAGTGGGTTCTAGAGGGCGTCATTGAACCAGGTATGGGTGCTACAACTCAATTGAGGCATAATATATATATATATATATGTTATATATATGGTCCTGTCCCGTACTGTCATATATATGAGAATATAGACTTTCGTATATAGACATGTATACGTGCATGAGCATGTGTGTGTCAAGAACATGTGTGTGTGAAGAGGGTATGCGCACACGGACGTAAACATACATAACTGTATATATCGTGTGTGGGAAATGAAAGTCGTTCAACTAGAAGAAATATCTGTATCTACCTGTAAATAGGTGTTCTTGTTGACATCTTTCAGGTGAAATAGAAATGGTGTTTGGCCCATATGCCTTTGGTTTTCATGTCTGTATATATATATATGTGAGTGTTCTTCAGCATTTAAAAATAAATAGACACATATACATATGCATATACACGTAGATATAGATGTATATATATCACACACGCACACACACACACATATATAGATGTATCTATATGTATATATACATATATATGTATATATACATATATATGTATATATATATGAGTGAGTGAGTGAGTGAGTGCCTTAGTATCTCTGCATGTGTACATGTATGTATACAATTGATAAGCAGTTGTTCTATTGTATAGAACTACGAGAAAGAGTTCACTTGATAGTCCTGTGTCGGACTGAGATGAGTGGATGATGAGAACATATATATACACGTCCTTATGCCCTTTGAGTCTCAAATACCACTACAAAGTATGTATGCATGTATGTATGTATGTATGTATATCTATATATATCTGACTACGCCAGTGCTCATACAACTTTTATGTTGCTATCTACTTGCTCCTCTATCTGTTTAGATTGTGGAGAGTACATCAAGGCTGCCGCAACCACGAAGACGTGGCTTGACCTCAGCGACAAGTATTTTGTACTGCTAGGTGCAGGCAGTGCAATGGGGCCGTTCATCGCGCTGACCAAACTGGGTGCCAATATTATTGCCCTGGATCTGGACAGGCCGGGTATTTGGGAGCGCCTGATCACCACTGTGAGAAAGAGCAACGCAACCATAACATTCCCGCTTAAGAAAGCCCAGGCTCAGGTACGTACAAACAACTATAACAATACGTGCAGGAACGGGTATTGTACGCATAGAGGATATTCATATTCATGCACTCATACTTAACGCATATGCCTTTTAGTAAAGAGATCTTCCGACGTGAGTTTTAAATGCATGCAATTATTCGCGCTTATAACCTAGCCCTCTGTGTGTGCTCTTATCGCACCTTCACAAGCTAGTGGTCATCATGGCGAATAGTGAGAATGGGGGTATCGACTGGGTAGGTTAGGACACAGGAACATTTGTTCTCTGACATGGAGGATAACCTGTGGTTGTTACTGAGATAGGGATAAACTAATATGTGGTCATTACAGGGATAGGGATGAACTAATCTCTGGTTTTTACAGGGATAGGGATAAACTAGTCTCTGGTTTATACAGGGATAAGGATAAACGAATCTGTGGTCATTACAGGGATAGGGATGAACTAATCTCTTTTTTACAACTAATCTCTGGTTTTTACAGTGATAGAGGTAAACTAATCTCTGCTTTATTACTGGGATAGAAATAAACTAGTCTCTGGTTTTTACAGGGATAGGGATAAACGAATCTGTGGTTATTACAGTGATAGGGATAAACTATTCTCTGGTTTGTTACAGGGATGGGGATGAACAAGGAGTGTAGTTGCGCACACCTCATTGTCTAAAGTGTCTCGTGTTTGTCCGCGTCAATACTACAACCCCCCCCCCCCCCCATTGCTCCACCCGATGTGCACAAGGCAACGACTTCTATCGAGTGACAACAACTCCGCGAATACAATATAAAAGATCATCCACGCATTTCATTCACGTATCATTCACTAACGTTACGACGCATTTCATTCACTAACGTTCAGACGCATTTCATTCACGTATCATTCACTAACGATACGACGCATTTCATTCACGTATCATTCACTAACGTTCAGACGCATTTCATTCACGTATCATTCACTAACTTTAAGACGCATTCCGCACACTTGTACATAGTGCACCAGCGATACCGAACTCTTCGCCAACGCTGGCTGCAACCTGTTCTCCGAAACGCCGGAGATCAAGAACTGGCTGATCAACGTCCACCCGAGCAAGGCCTTTATCATCGGCGCGTACGCATATCTAGACGGAGAGCTGCACGTGCGCGTGTCGCTGGCTATGGACGCTATCATTGCCGGTGTGTGTGAGAAGCGACCCGAGGCTTCTGCGGCGTATCTGATGACTCCTACACACATCTACGGTTGCCAGGAGGAGACGGCCCAGGCTTCACGCGTGCAGTACAGTGCCGGAGGTGCGTATAACAACTTCTTCCACTTCTTGAACTTCGTCTCGGGCGGAAAGCTGTGCCAGCCTTCGGTAAGTGTATACTGCTTTATTTGCGTGTATAGTTGCTTTAGTTGCACGTATATCTGACTTTGATTGTATGTATTTATTGCTCTTATTGTATGTATATAATGCTATATTTGTATGTATATATTCGTTAAAACATATTTATGTAAATATCCATTTGATTGTATAGCATTTTTTGTATGTATATGCTGTTTCAATTGTATGTATATATTGCTTGTATTGTCTGTCTATTGTGCTTCAATGGTATTTAAATAAGCATATTGAAAGTACTCTTTTTTATATGTTTTATATTGTTCTATTTATATGAGTGTTGCTATCACTATTAGATACATGCTAGGATTTATACCTGTACTGTGTGTACCTTGCTCTCACAACTATATATATAATAGCTAGCGTAGGCGGAGTGTGTGCGGTGAGTTTACAACACTATATTATGTAGGAGAATGCCAGTTTGTATATCAGTACGGGCGTGTGCGTAAGTATAAGTACAGGGCGAGTGCGTGTCTAGGATGGTATCATCGTTTGGGTTATTCGTCTGAATTTATCTCTATTTCCATCAGCAAGTACTCACCAACAAGCCAATGAACCAACCCAACCTCCATTGGATATGTAAGTCAATCTTTCATACCTGATAGTGCCATTGCATTGCATACCGTCTTATACCTACCTCTTATCTTTACTGTACAGACCGCTCTGAAGGTATACACGGACGTGCATGGCGAGCCCGTGAACATCATCGACTCGCTGTCTCTGACGCAGGGACCCAACTACGCCCTCGCCAAACAGATCCAAGTGTGGCGTGCAGTAGTGGAGAAGTATGTTGTATAACACTGCATTATTGCAAATACAGTGGTAGTATTGGTAAATACTATACCTTAATGGTGTAAGTAACTGGTAGATATGTTGTATATCACTGCATGATTTCATGTACATTGGTTGTGTTGGTTCTACCTATATCGTAGTAGCGTATGTAAATGAGCAGTGTACTGTTTAACACTGTGTTGGTGAATACTTGTCGTAGTAGCGTTTGATCAGTCAAGCATCTCTTGCCATATATATTTATATATCATAACTAGTACGCCGACGCCTTTCCGAGTGGATGGATAAAATTGCATGTCTATAGTGCACTTATTCAATTCACGTATAGAGTGTGTCTTGGCATCCCCGATACTTCGGAACTATCACACAACCTCTGCACAGATTCTTTCGTTTGGTTTAAACTACATCACAACTGATCAGCATATGCGAATCAGAATTGCAGGATTATTTGCATTGAAGTAAATTGTCCGTACTCCAGCATATGGCACGCAAATGCTTTATATCATTCTTCACTCCTACGCCCCACGCGCCACACAGTTCACACTTTAACCCATCTCACAAGCACGATAGTCTATCATGTGTGTCTTCAACTTAATTTGTATTCATACATATAATACATTATAAATAGACAACATTATCATGTTTCATGCATCTTCAACTAGAATTATATACAATTACATAGTACAAAATAAATGTACATAACCCTATATATAATACATCCTTGATCCAGAACTCGCATCAGTCTTTCATGCACATTACCATGTAACTGCAACCTATCCCTACGCGCTCTGTATCTCAGATCCAGAACACATATCACCACAAAATATCATGCGTCTTAACTTATATTCCCACACTATGTACATCCTTGTAATCCTTAATCCAGAACCCGCGGCCATGGTGTGTCATCCAACGTCGCCCCCACCACAGCCACCGCATCTGTCCTGTACTCCAAGTCGCTCAAATGGGCTATGGACGGGTACCATCGTTTCCGACCTGTTGAGATCATGCAACAGGAGACGTCCAACGCCGTCATGTGTGCGTTGCTGATCAACGATGTGAACAACAAGGAGTGCAACGCGCACAAGGACAAGAAGCTGGCACACCCATGGGACCTGTTCAATGACGGTCAATTCCACGGTGGTATGTACCGGTGTGGGTATGCCTTCGGCTCGACTGGGGAAGCGGCTGTCCTGTCCAAATTTTTGGGACCGATCCTGGACTTCATGGAGTTTTTTTGGTCCGCTTAAGGCCCTGAAAATCCTGGTGGTTGCGGAGGGTGTTCTTTGTATGCGCCAGACGAAGGCGCTTCGTGGCGAATAATTAGAAATAAATAAAATATACAACAGTGCAAGAGACCTAAGAACACCACAGTGATTTCTAGCAAGGTTAACTAGCTGTATCAAGTTTGACCAGGACCCTCTGGAAGTCTCCCAGGTTTTCAGTGCGAAATAAGTCTTCCCGATTGTACTGCGTTTAAGAAAACGAGGGACAGACTATAGAGGGGTGGATACCTGAATTATATCTACCTTCCTTCGTGTTTATAACCCCAATACGTACTAGTTTTTGGGTATGGAATGGTCCAAATTTCTAGCCTTCTTCGTGTTTTCAGCACCGATACTTATGAGTTTTTGAGTATGGTCTGGTCCCGATTTACATTTCCAATCCTTTCCGCCCACCGCCCCCTCTCCTCCACCACAGGGCCACATCCAGCTAACCTCTTATAATAACTAATGTGGGGTGGACTCAATTGGACCATCCAGCTAACCCCTTACAATAACTCATAGGGGGTGGACTCAATTGGACCATCCAGCTTACCCCATATAATAACTGTTGGGGGGTGGACCCAATTGGACCAACCAGCTAATCCCATAAAATAACTAATAGGTGTTGGATACTTCATACGCTATGGCAAAGGTATATATTGGATATGAGAATAATATATATTGTGTATATTGGACTGCATAGAACAAGACAATACTCCCTGCTTTTGCCAGCGAACAAATCGATACACACTAACGCTGCGTTCTCCCGACTATTGCCATAGTTAGAACAACGAGATAAAGAGTGTTCCCAACCAAGCCCCTAGTAATGGAACAATACAATCCTTCAATAGAGCGAAGGCGACAGTTCGCACTCCCAATCTGGTGGTGCTTGTTCGCCTCAAATACTATGAATTTGGCCAAGTCATCGTTAGACTCGTCGATAAACGCCCGAACCCAACCCAAATATCTCAGAGCTCTAACGACTATACACGGTAGTGGTAAGAGTTTAATACGTCTCCACGTTCTTTGGGATTGGATTGCAGAGTGACTTAGATACGTACTTGTAAAATAGGATACCTCTCAATACTCGGCGGTGGTTGGGATTGATGGTATCTCGGGATGACTGATCATAACGGTCCAGTTGATCTCTCACTTATCAGCGGTGGTTGGGAGTGTATTGATAAGGTTGGTATGGGCCAGGGGGAGCCTGTTGGCCGCTATACCCGGGGGGATATACACTACTGGGAGTTTGCTGTTGGAAGGCGACTGGTTGACCCGGCTGTTGCAAGAACGAGTCAAGACAGACTTGAGTTAGGAAAATACAAGATATATACTAGGAATATACAGGATTTCACACGGAATTTATTAGGAAAATACAGGATATGTATTAGAAATATACAAGATATTTATTAGGAATATACAAAATATGTATTAGGAATAAATAAATAAAAAGTAATGAGAAAATACAAGATATGTATTAAGAATATACAAAATACGTATTGGGAATCTACAAGATTGAATAAAGAAAATACAATATGTATACTAGTAATGCACAAGACATGTATAAGGAATATACATTGAATGACTACGAGCAACTCAGACGCTTTTTATATCGGTGTGCACATGTGAGGGTGCACATTAGCAAAAAAATATACAAAATTGTGGTATTTTGGGTATTAGTCTTTTACACTCTAAGTCATTGTTGGGAGCTTGCTTACAAGGTCACTGGCTGTGCCGGTTGTGGTAATGTATAGGCAGAGATATATTAGGGATATACAATGAAAAACCATATAAAAAATCAGACATTCCATGCATCCGTATAATAGCAACCTAGCACTATATACATTAGTATTGAGCACACACCAATATGTACATATGTGAGTATATATCAGCATGTACCTGTACTAGTGAACATATGCAAACAAGCAGAACATCATACC